GAGACTGAAACGTTAGGATGATTAATAAATTGATGCTGTGATGCTGAGCAGGAGCAGTGTGCAGGATATTCTTCTTTTCATGACTGAAGTCATATTTTACGGAAAATTGAACATATTTGTTACTGTTACTGATGATAATTTAGTTTTTACTATTTCCTGACATTTCATAGGCGAAACTATGAACTGAGTAATTGTGTAATAACTGTCAGATAAATCAAAGTTCAAATCTAACCAGTGCTGGTGTGAAACACTGCCTTGTTAGACAGCCAGGACTTTGCATTGACATGGTGTTGCTGAGGAATTCACAGGCAACAAATGCAGAACAAATTCCAATCATCTATCCTTTACATAGAAAGAGGAATACTTACAGTGTAACGTATCATGATATAGGGAGCACTGTGACATTATTATATATGTAGACCACTGTCTGAAGGAAAATGTCAGTGTTGCTCTTGTGAGGAAATTATATTTGGCATGTTTGGGTGCACTTCAGAGAGTTGACAGCCACGATGTGTTCAGGTTTTCAGTTTTTCCTCGTAGTTCTGTCAGTCGTGTTACTGAAGTCAAACTTCTGGTGACAACAGTGGCACGTGTGCCAGCTGTGTGTGTCTGCTGCTGCCAGCCATCGCTGCTGTATCTGAAAGGTCAAGCAGAATGTGAGAGGGAGCAGATAACATACTGCAAGTCAACAGGCACCAGTCATTCAAGCACACACAGTCTCCGACACACTCACAATAAGCACATGCCCTCATTAACATTTAACACTGCATGAGCATCATTTGCATACAGAATTAACAAACTCCACCACTTTAGGATTCTGTTTCGATCCGAGTCAGAGTTTTCTGTGACATCTCTCGTCACTTCTGTCCCTTTGGTAGAAATATTGCTCCAACAAATGTCAGATTTTGTGTTGGAAAGCAGCTCAGAAATCCCCATGTGCAGCGAGTCCTGATGGATAGGAGCATTTGTGCATGAAATAAACTGAGTCATTCGAATATATAAACCTAGCTTCTGTGTTGTTATTCTGTTCTGACGAGCTCAGGACACAGGAAAGTAGTCAATAAGAGCCTGATAGATTTATTCATGAAACACTCTTTTGAATGCAGGGGAAAAGAATCTGTATGCATTTGATGTGCACTTGTTAACATTTCAGTGTGTGCATTCTGGAAAATGCTATGTGTAAAACAAGGCTTTGTGTCGTTACAAATGATGAGGGGCTCTATTTGCTCAGCACCAGCTGTTTGCAGAAGCAGCAACACGCTGTTTTGATGCAGGTCGGAGACTGCGACCTCTCGTCATCTGCTGTAGGTACTTAACATGGTCGAAACACCGTTCTCAACTTTACGAGACAATTCATAATTTAAGTACCATTTATGCTTTGTTGTTCCAAATCATTTGCCAGCAGACTGGTTCAGGAATGCGGCAGTGTAGAAGATAATAAGGTGATTGATGGGCTCATTTCTTAATGACTGGTTCTTGGTTCAGGGAGACAGGAAATGATGTTACAGCTTGTTTGTTCCTTGAAAAAACATTTAAAAAACCCTCAATATCAATACATTTTCACTCAGGTTAGATGGATATTTTTGACATTTGTACCTATATTCTGTTGTATTGTCCTTTCATGTCTTATTCATCTATTCAAATTATCCTGCATTGTTTTAATGAGAGTTCTACAACAAATTCTCGGCAAATGCCAAAGAATATTTTGCTGTTGGATCTATAACGTGCAGAGAGATGCGCCTCTATACATCACTGGAAAAGCTTTGCCTCTGTAGGAGGAGGGAGTTAAACCATCTATTCCAGTCTGGAATCATTCAGTGCCCAGCGGTGTGCTCATGCATGTCATACAGTCATAGTGTTCTTCAGAGAAGCGACATTCAACCTCTGTTTAAAAACACGGGATGACTGTCGGTCGGTCTTTTCTCCTGCCGCACACCCTCTCCTGTCTGCAGGCACACTTATGAAATATGCATTTATTAAAGCACAGCGGAGCCCGCTGCCTCCTTTCACTGACGACTTGATCACACGTCGAGCAGCTAGTGAACCAGCTGCTGACTCAACTGTGTACAAGTGAGGCGTTCTTGTCTCTGCTGTGAGGGTGAGTCAGCTGAGTAAAATGTCGTTTCAGCAGCTCAACATGTTTGCACCACGCTTAAAACAGCAAAGCCAAGGCATTAATGTAGATCACTGCTGCTAATGTGATTTCAAGAGCTCATCTGAAACAGGTTGAAAAGGGGTTAAACATTTTCTTAATGTATGGGTTCAGTGCTGGTCGATACATGCTCCTAAACTTTGTATGTCTTTCAGGGCTCAGATATTTTAATGTGTTTCTCTGTAAATCTCTGACTTTGTGCTTAAGCTTTAAAAGTGCTATATAAATAAATAGAAATATTCATATCATCATAATCAGAATCATGTAATTTGGCTTTTTTCACTGAGACTTAACTGAGAGCGAAGCCTTCATTTAACCAGATGGTCATTTTTAAGGGCATCTAGTGTTAAGTAGGGCTCAACAATTAATTGAAATATTATCGAAATCGCAATCTGACACTATGTAATATGGAACATACAAATCGCAGATGAAGGTAAAATGTGTCACAACATACCATAAATGTAAACATACAAATCATATTCTCCAGATGTAAAGGAACATGCTTGTTTGGCACAAGCCCAAACAAAAATCATCAAATCATCCTCATTTTTGTATTTTAAAATAAATGTCAGTGTCAGTGTCAGTGACCACTGGTCCTGGGACACAGTTGTCATGTGTTGGAATCATGAGTTTAGATTTTAGAAAACTTTTTGCTAACTGAAAACTGAATGAATGTTTGATGAGTTTCTGCCTTTTTATAAATCTGATCTGTAGTTTTCTGCAGTTGAATTGCTGGTGCAGAGATCATCAATGCTGCAAAACTGTGTAATGTTGTGAGCAGAACAGGGGCTCAAAAACTGTTATGGCATAATGACAAACACTGGAAAACAGCACCAGCAAACAGAACCAGTGGTAATAAAAAATTGTCTTTTTACAACTTTGTATTTCTAAGAGTTGTATATTAACAGCGCTACAGACTACATCCTCCAAAATGACCACTGCTGAGAGACTCAACAGGGACTGAACGCTGTGTATGAGCTTCAGCAGATTGGTGTTTTTTGTAGGGCTGTTTTATTATGTCCCTGTAGTTTAGCTTTCATGCAGTTGCACTATTTCTCACGTGTTTTGGTCTCTAGGTTTTCTGTACATTTGGGCCCATGCACAGTCTTTCTTCCCACACTGCTGCCAGAGAGAAAGTAATCTCATCAGGTAAAGATGAAAGTGCAGTGAAGATCAGACTCTGTAAATCTGAGGGGTCACAAGATGTTTAACAGGCCAGCTAAGATAGAAATGTGTTTTTCCAACCCTTGCTTTTCCTCTCTGAGGCAAAATCTGACTTTGGACTGTATAAATACAATTGACCTGACTTTTTCCAAGGGATTTTGTAGATATTATGTTATCTTCTTCACATCCTCTGATAATAATAATGTAGTCTGTGTTTCCTCTACCAAAAAACAAAACAAAATATTTTATTTAGTTATTTACTTACTTTGTTTGCTCTATTTGCTCATTTGCTCTCATGAATCTCTGCTTTTTTTTGTTGTCATTTACAGTGGCGTTTCTCTCCTCTGCTTCCTGTTTCACTGTGTGTGTGTGTGTGTGTGTGTGTGTGTGTGTGTGTGTGTGTGTGTGTGTGTGTGTGTGTGTGTGTGTGTGTGTGTGTGT